CAAAGAGCCGCCCCGGCCACCGCGCTGTTGGGACGCGGTGGTTTCCATGGGCTGCCCGGGGCCACCGTGGGCGCTTGTTCCGAACCAGAGCGAGCGCGGTTGACCCTCCCCTCGGGCCCGCCCCTCCGCAAACAGAGTGAGTGTCCGGCCCTGCGTGGGGCGGCGCTTTCGGCGTGTAACTTCGTGGGCACGAGGCACAGACCTCTAAGGTGGGACTGCAGGGTCACCGGCGGGCTCTTCTGTCCCGTTAGGGTCGCCTGGGTAGTGGGGGCGCCTGCCTTGGGCTCCAGCTCAGGTCCTTCCAAGGACCGCGCGAGCGAAGGCCGGTGGTCACGCGCCCGAGCTGGCCGCCCAGCCAGGGGTCAGATGCACAGCGCCCAGGGACGCACGGGAACAGCCCAAAGCCGAGTTTAAGTGCGAACCAGGCTGTAAACACGCAAAGGATGCAAAGTCTAAGCAGTCACTGCAGACACTGCAGGCGCTGTCTGTCCTGAGCCCAGGCTGACACAGCACTGTCCCTGCACCCGGGCCCACACGCCCACCTGACTGCATCCTCCGGGCATCCCCTGAGATTGCCTGCGGTGGGGTGTCTTCAGGCCCCGGCTTCCCTGGGTGCCACCGGGGTGCAGGGAGCGGCTGTGACATGGCTCAGTGGCTGTGCTTTGAACACTTGGGCGGCTGCACTTGTGGTGCCTCCAGCGCTGTCCCGAGTTTCCTCCCGCCCTAACGTGCTTCATGGCCCCTCCAGCGACTCCCGGAATGGTCATGAACTAAAGTTAAAATGCCTTCTTCGCAGGTAGTCGTGAGGATGTCACCACACACAGCTTGCAGCTACTGTTCAAAACCTAGAAATTCACCTGTAGCCCTTGACTTGAATAAAAGGAATGTTGCAAGTTTGGGGTTTCCCAGAGAAACTGAACTCCAAGGGCTGACTGAAGGCTTCTCCCTCCACTTGCCTCGGAGAGGAGGCAGCTGCGCCCACTGCCCTTGGGTTCTTGGCTTCCTCCTGTTTCCTGCAATTGCCCATGAAATTACTCTCTGGGAATCAGTGAGCAGGAAGTGGGTTTAATATTTAATCACAATTTCCTAAAAGGTCAGAGGTTTCTGCAATACCATTGTCTTATGATATTAATGATTTTTTATTCCTAGAGAACAGTTTGAGTATCATTCCTTTTTTATATATATCTGGAAAAAACATACCGTTTATTTACATACATTTTGCATTCATTTACATATATATGATGTGTAAAATCTATATCTAAAAGAATCTTCTTTGAAGTCTTTCCAATGATGTTTCTTATTGTGCACCGTAGAAAAATACCATTAACGCATTTTCTTTACCTCTTTGTTTTTTATCATTACATTTTTGATGTATTTTGAAATTATAAATTTGAAATTATAATCATTTTTTTGTTATATTCTTACTTTGGATGGTCCATTTCACCATAAGTTATAGACACTTTTGAGTTATACACTTGATATTTTTAAGAAGCAGTTCAAGAAACAATTTTTGTGAGTATCGCAAATATGAAAAATTATATCAGCTTCACTTTCGCATTTCTTGGGTGCCATGAAACACCCAAGACCACCAGGATGCCGTCTCTTTCTAACCTCTGGCATGTACTACTGAAGAACAGGACACGGTGCTGCCTCTTAGCCATGCATTTCTCGAGTAAAACATCAAAAATGAAGTTCCATTGTAAAAGCTTATGCAGTTTATTAAAAATTAAATACTAAAAATTGGAACAAAGTGAAAGCGTACACATTTCAAAGCTCCCGAGTGGGGTGGGGAACGCACCTGCGGTGTCTAGGGAGTCCCAGGGCCAGGGCTGAGCTGGCACCACAGAGGCCGTGCGCTCAGGGGCCTCTGTGCGGGGAGGAAGGTAGTTCCTCTGGTTTTTTGTGTGTTTTTTTAAAAATATATTTTACTGATTTTTACAGAGAGGAAGGGAGATAGAGAATTAGAAACATCGATCAGCTGCTTCCTGCACACTCCCCACTGGGGATGTGCCCGAAACCAAGGTATATGCCCTTGACCGGAATCGAACCTGGGACCCCTGAGTGCAGGCTGACGCTCTATCCACTGAGCCAAACGGGTCAGGGCAGTTCCTCGATTTTTCATTCCTGCAGGATCCGGTGTCCCTGCAGTTCCCCGAGAGCACTCGCACCGCCCGAGTCACCCATTTTCTGTGGGACTGTTTAATTTTCAAACCTCATTCTACAATGTCAGCCGCAGTCCCAAGCCTTAGACATGCGTGCCACGTTTTGTTAACATTTATTATCTTTTAATAAATATGTGAATGGAGATGAAGATCTTCTTGCTTTTTCAGACCATGTGTTCACTCCGGGGGCAATGCTGGTGGACTCTGGTACCAGGACTGCGCCTGCAGGGAGTTAGGTAGCATGGACCTTTGACTGCACACCCATTTATTTAAGTCTTTTAGAAACATTTGAAAAGTTTTGCCACAAATGTATGTCACGAATATATAATTAATGCCAATTGGTACCTGAGTATCCATTTGCTTTCAGAATCTGTGTCCTGTGAAACAGAATAACTGCTTTACAGTGCAGTTGAGCGTTGACTTAGATTCTGCCTGGGAGAGGTCTGTAACACAGGTCCTGTTACTGGCTTTAAAAGGCTCTCTGTTCATAATCTCTAACTGTGTTTGAAATTAGCTAAAATCCTGACATTGGCAGCACATTGTGGGGCACGGCTGAAGGATTTTAAAATTCTCATTGAAATATGTCATTGGCAGCCGTGCTGAGGCACTCGGGCTCCTCCCACCTTACTTTTAGGACCTTCACTGCGCGTGCGTGCGTGCGTGCGTGCGTGCGTGCGTGCGTGCGTGTGTGTGTGTGTGTAACGCATTGGTCATAGGTAGTGTCACCTGTGTGTTTGTGCGTTCGGATGCTTAGCAGTCCAAACACTGCACACGTGTCCTGACAGCTGTGGTCCCGGCAGGAGCAGCAGCCTGGTCTGAGATGAGAACCTGGGGACAGGTGTTTCCCTAGTTACTGTTTCATGTTCAGAGCCTCATGTGCCCTCAAAATACTCTTGGGCGAATGAGCTGCAGCTAATCCTAAGCAAACAGCTATCTGGGACCCGCCCTCCAGCGCTCACACTGTTCCAGCAGGTGCCAGGGAGTGGGGGGGATGCTGGGCAGCCCAGGTCACCACGCAGGTGCAGTGCTGTCAGGGATCTCACCTGGTTCACTGTCTTGAGCACCTCCCACCAGGGTTCCCGGCTGGAATGGTGCCCCACCTGTAGGCACCCCTGGCTCCCGTTGGTGACATTGTTAGGAGAGGATTCGGTGTTTGGAGGGGAGGCTGTTCTCCCCTGAGGGTTCTGTTTGCTTGTGTGTTTCCCTGGGCAGTGGAGCCGGGTGGTGCAATGAGATGCTTCCTTCCCGGCCAGGCAGGTCACGTCCCGGTGCAGGGTTTGTTGGTAGCCCTGGTGCACGGGGCTGTTTATTCAGCAGCTGCAGGGCGCTTGGGATGGGGGTGCACCGCCCTGCCCTGGGCGCCCCTCGGCACCAAGGCTGGTCTCCAGGGTTGGAGAAACGCAGAGGGGTCCAGCTCTGCTGCTCACTCTCCTGCCCCTCTTTTCTCAGCCACGCCCCCTCTCCCTTCGCTGCACCCCCACTGGAGAGAAAATAAAAAGCCATCACAAGGAGATGCCTACCTGTCTGCCATCTTACCTGCGTCTTTGAAAGAAATGACATTCTAGAGAGGCCTCACAGCTCCCTACAGCAGCTGCCCAGAGCCCCTGGCACTGCTCAGCGTTCCACCTCCTTTGCTGGCACCTCTTCTCCACTAAGGGTCTGCATCCGTCGCTGCCCAGACAGCTGTGACCTGGCCCACAGTGGCCCTTCAGAGCCATCTCGAGGGTCAGGTGTCCGTGTCCCCACCCGGTTACCCTTTCTCCTCTCCACTAGCCTCCCAGGACCCCTCCCCCCTCTCCGTTTGGCGGCTGCCCCTTGGTTCCCTGCTCCCTGCTGGGCCCTGGGACACCTTGGAGTGCCCCTCCCACTCCAACCTGACTGCCAGGGCTGACCTGGCTGCTGAAGTGCAAGCCTCCTGCAGGTCCTGTCCACGCGTGCTCTGTACTTGTCGGCTGTGCATACGCTCATGTGTGTAAAGAGAAGGAAATGATGTTGAGTTTTGGAAATCCAGGGCTAAATGTGTAAGTTGTATAGTGGGAAACTCTAAAAATTGAGCTGAAAGTGAGACCTGATGGCTCTTTGCATAAGGACCAAGGACAGCTCCTGTGGTCTGTTTCCTGTGACCTCCCTGGTGTTCCAGCCATGAGCTGGCAGGTGGGAGGTGGGGGGCGGGGGAGCGCACGGGAGCCCTGCTCTGAGCACCTGCTGGGAGGACCCAGCCGCCTGGGGGTCTGGGTTCCCTCTCAAGGGCCTTGTTAGAGGAAAGTGAGAACTGTGCCCACAACTCCAGTTTCTGCAGTTAAATGTGTAGTGGCTGCTGCTCCACAGAAAAGTAGCCTCACACTCCACACCACGCGGCCGGAAGGTAAGCGGAGCGTTGCTGAGCCCAGGCTGGCCCTGTTGTAACTGCTGGGTCTGCCTGTCTGCCACTTCCCCCTGAAGGTCGAGGCGGCAGGAGTCGCCTGCACGTTTTGGTGGCACAGCACATGGATTCTTAGGCCCAGCATTGCCCTTACAGGTTCCAGACGCCGGTGAGGTGAGCTGTTGGTCACACTTGCTCCCGACAAGGGGGTCCAGCTTGCAAAATTATGGGTTTTGTAGGAGCTGCTGTTATACAGAATCAGGAAGGGAGCGATGCCTCGAGAGGGCTGGTCACGTGCGCTGTGCGGTCTGGGGAGTGCTGGCCACGGGGCATGGACACGGGTCCGAGGCTGCAGGAATGGAGACTGCGCCGCGTTCCGCAGGCTGTTGCCGAATCCACTTGGAAAAGAGCCACGGGTCCCGTTCTTTAGTTTCCAGTCGTCCTGTTAGGACAAATGTCAGAGATGTGAGTGGGAATGGTTGGAATTCCTGAATTCGCCAGAACACGGGCATTTTTGTTGACCCGTGGCCGCGCGTGGCGGGGGATTTGCCGTGTGGGTTCTCACTGTGTTTCTGAAATGCGCATGGTGTGTGTCCTTCAGAATTTACCCCAAGTAAGTTGACTGAATTATTTTTTAAATTACCAAGATATAATTTTTCAAAGTTTCAAAAAAGAGTGGAAGCTGTCTTTAGTCAGGACTGTTTACGAACAGGGAGATGAGACAGGACGCGGCAGCTGGCCGTCCCGGGATTAGCCGGGCGGTGCCAGGAGGTGTTCTCGCTGTTCTTTCATCCCGCGGGCCCTGTGCCACCACCTCTCCATTTTCTTGCCGTTTCAGCATCTGCTGACTTTACATGGAGTCGCGTCCGCGGGCCTGCTGGTGGGAGAGCTGCTTGAACCCCCGCATTGTTCCGGCCGCGCTGGCGCCCAGCCAGGCCTGGGCCCTCGTGCTGTGCACTTAATCGCCAGGCCTTTCTGGCTTTAAAATATGAATTGTAATTTATTTCATTGCCCGCCCCCCCGTAAACAGGCTGCAGATACTCTGGCTGTGAGGCAGAAAAGAAGAATTTATGATATCACCAACGTCTTGGAAGGGATCGACTTGATTGAGAAAAAGTCCAAAAACAGCATCCAGTGGAAGTAAGTTGCGAGGCCGGCTCCGCTCGGAGACTGCTCCTCCCAGTGCTGCAGAGCCCGGGGCTGCTGTGCACGTCCCGTCTGCGGCTGCTGGGGTAGGCCCTGCTCCCTGCGGTTTAATTTACACTCTTAGAAACTCACGTCATACGTTCCCCCCAAGGCCCCGCACGGCGCCCCGCACACTGCTGGGTCATTAATCCCTCTCCGCCCAAGTGTTTGTCAGCTGATAAATTCATACAAACGCCTTGAGGAGCAGGAACTACATCTTACTTGTGGGAACATGTGCTTACAAATAACAGTTGATCGAAATGCACGTTGTCTCCTAACTGTGATCTGGTTGTATGTTTGTGACAAATGCATTCTGTTTTGCATATTTGTCCCCTTTGACCTTCATTTTTTATTTTTTTATTTTGGTCAAAATCCCACGAAAATATGTAATCTATTACCTGTATCTCAGCCTACATCTGAGATGTCCAAGTTGACTGTGCCATCTTTTTTGGTGTATCTGTCACCAGCCTGACATTCCAGGTGACAGGCACCATGCTAAAACATGCTGGGAAATTTTGAAATTTCACTGTTCTTGCCAAGAAATATGCTAAGCAATCATGTTCTGAGGCATCGTAATTAAATTTTTTAGTCCTTTATTTTTATAAGAGTGTAAAGATTTTTGTCTTCAGCACATTGCTCTGTCAGTGTTAGTGCTGTAACACTCAGGTGCTGTGGTTGACCTGGGTCTGATGTGGCGTGTTCATGCTCCTGTGTGCAGAGGGGTGGGCGCTGGCTGCAACACTAAGGAAGTCCTGGAGAGACTGCGAGACCTCAGAGCCGAGGTTGAGGACCTGGACCTGAAGGAAAGGGAACTGGATCAGCAGAAGTCGTGGCTGCAGCAGAGCATCAGAAATGTGATGGATGACGCCATCAACAGCAGATATCCTTTCCATGGTTGCTCGTCACATCCAGCTGCGAAGGAGGTGTTACAGGTGCACGTCCAGCTCGGGGGGAGGAGTTACAGGTGCACGTCCAGCTGGGGACTGTCTCATTCCTGTTCTTACAGGAAATACTTTTCGTTTTTGCCCATTGAGTACAATGTTGGCTGTAGGTTTGTCATATATGGCCTTTATTGAGGTATGTCCCCACTTTTCTGAGAGTATTTATCAAAAATGGATGCTGGATTTTGTTGAATGTTTTTTCTGCATCTATTGATACGATTATGTGATTTTTATCCTTCATTTTGTTTATGTGATGCATCGCACATATTGATTTGCGAATATTGTACTATCCTTGCAGGGGGAGGAGTTACAGGTGCACGTCCAGCTGCGGGGGAGGAGTTACAGGTGCACGTCCAACTGGGGGGGAGGAGTTACAGGTGCATGTCCAGCTGAGGAGGAGGAGTTACAGGTGCACGTCCAGCTGAAGAGGACATGCTTCCTGATGTTCTCCCAGCCAGGAGTTGGGTGCTTTGTTCCACTGTGTTTAGAGATTTAAGTTTAGGATGTAAATGTAACGTTTTAATTTTATGTTTCTAACAATTTAAAAATTTTGCCTTTTTTAGTTATATAGCCTGCCTAGTACTATCGTTCCTGTGTCTCATTGAGAAAAGAAATTTCGTCTACTTTCCGTCTACCCATTGCTAGACAGCGATACACAGGCCGAATGCTCGGTGCTTCCGTAAATTTTAGACACCATTGTGGAGTGTGTAGGTTACTGTAAATAGGGTGGGGAGCCTTTTTTCTGCCAAGGGCCAGTTGGATATTTGTAAAATCATTCTTGGGCAGTGGTCGGCAAACTCATTAGTCAACAGAGCCAAATATCAACAGTACAACGATCAAAATTTCTTTTGAGAGCCAAATTTTTTAAATTTAAACTATATAGGTAGGTACATTGTTATTAACTTAATTAGGGTACTCCTCAGGCTTAGGAAGAGCCACACTCAAGGCGCCAAAGACCCACCCGCATGTGGCTCGCAAGCCAGTTTGCCGACCCCGGTTCTTGGGCCATACAGATTGATCAACTTAACTATCAGCCTGCTGTATTTGGTCAAACGTCTAATTAGCTCACCCCTAGTGCCTTGGCAGGGCCAGACCAAACGATTCCGCGGGCCTACCCCTATGTCCGTGCTCTGGAGGGTGAACATTCAGCAGCTCAGAGCTTTGAGAAGTCACTGGGTGGACAACCCGGGATACTCCGCCTGCTACCAACTCAGCGGTGGAGCCTCCCAGAGGGTGGTCCAAGGCTAGCGCATCTGCCAGGTTAGAAGGAAGAGGGGTACACCCCGAGTTTCCCCGTCACTGTCCCCTTGATGTCTGCGGTGCCTGCATATGCGAGCGCCCCTGTGCTCTCTGGGACAGTTCCCGGCATCAGCCTCGTGCCACGTGAACTTGGACCTACCTGAAGTCAGGGAGGCTCCGTGCCATCGCATCCTGGGTGCACAGGTCCATGAGCTTCGTGTCACTTCCCTGTTGGTCAGAGCTTCAGTGTGAGAACTGGGGTTTCCAGCTGTGCCCTGTGGAGCCCCAAGATTCCAAACCATTGAACTGGCTGACCTTGGACTTTGCTGCACGGTTTTCCAAGGTTCTGGCTACACCCAGGACCCAAACTGCGGCCCAGGAAGGTTGTGGGTGTGGAGCCCTCTGGTTGTGGCATCGGCTTCGTCTCTAGGCCTCAGAGCCCGGCTCCTGAGGAAGAGGCTTCCGTCTGTCCCGAGGGCCTGTTGGCCACACAGCCCAGAGCGCAGCCGGGCCCTCCGGGCGCCCTTGCTGGCTTGCCTCGGCTCTTGCAGGCCGAAGACCGGCTATTCTCCCCGACTGTGCGGCAGCCCCACAGGCATTCGGTCGTGGTGTTTGTTTAGGCCTCTGGTTTATTCATGGAAATGCCTAGAGCTTGATGCATACGTGTTCCTTAACTCCTGCGACGCACGTTTTCCTACGTGACTCACGAGGACATCTGCAACTGCTTCCACGGTGAGTCGGTGCCGCCTCGATTGACCGCTGCTGCAGAGACTCGGAATCCGGGGTCACCGGGCCAGGGTCGGGCGTGGGCTCCTCCTCTTGCTCTGCAGTGTGCTGTGCTCACAGTCGCTCACGTTTCTACCTACTCATGTCGCTGTCTGCGTTGCTGGCAGTAAACGGGGAGGGAGGGGCAGCTCAGTCAGACTGGGGCTAAATGACAGTCACAGTCAGGGACCAACTTGAACTCGGTTCATCGCTCTGTCTGTGAAACTGCAGCGAGTGTGCTGGGCACAGACAGAGCCAGAGGAAGCAGGAGGTGCTGATGACGAGGAAAGCTGCCTCCCCCAGCCCACCCGCCTCGTGTGACTCCGGAAATGACCATGTAGTGGATGAATAGTGACCAGGGTGGGGCTGTGCACATGTCTCAGTATCATGCCCACCAGGAAGACAGCCTGTCACTGACTGCAGGCAGGTGTGGCTATCTCTGGACTCGGCCACCACCCGGAGGCTGCCTTCCGCAGAGAGGGTGGGATGGGGCTTCACAAGTGAGCTCGCTCACGTCCAAGTTCAGTGTGTTGCACGTCCCTGGTGTCCCAATCATCACAACATCTTAGCTACTTGAAGTACACAGTGTGATGTAGTTGACGTTGAACGCTGTCAGCGTCTCAGGTTTAACAGGTCGCTGGAGCTGAGCTTGTTATGGGAGTGATAGATCAAGGCTGTGTGTTGCCCAGATCTGAGGTCTCCTATGTCTGTGACCATTCTCAGCACAGCCCTGTGGGGTTACAGCCCCTGCTCTACAGAAGGAAGACCCCAAAGCCACGCCGGAGCCTGGGATTTGAACCCAAGCTTCTGTCTCCAGGGCCCACCCACTTGCCACTCTATTTCCTAAAATTGAAACATCTGTTTTCTGACAGGTGACACACTGCTTGCCATCCAGGCACCTGTGGGCACGCAGCTGGAGGTCCCGCTCCCAGAGATGGTAGGTGGGCTGGTCAGAGCGGACCCGCTGGCTTGGGAGGGAGGCCCCATGTGTCTCCTCCGCACACGAGCTCACGGTGTGAACTCTCAGGCGTCAGTGCCAGGGTCTGGAGACTGAATCTGGGTGTCTTCAATACTTTGGTAAAATTGTAGACATGACGGAATGAATTATGTTAACATTTTATTTTTTTTTCATTTGATTTCACGAGTCATGATATAGTCAATAATCTCAAAGCATCAGTTTGGCTATATCTGCAACCCATGTACCAGTCCTGTCTGAGGAAGAAGTTCAGTTGAAATATCAACAATAATACGTGGTTTTAAATTGGGTCATTTTAACACGTCTGGCTCATTGAGTCATATATGTACTAACACTTTGCTACGTCCAAGTTTCATGAATTTAGTTTGGGATTCGAAGTTCCTAAAACAAACTCATTCGAAAGCTGTAGCAACCATGGCAGGGGTAGACAAAGGTGACCGCCGTCACCATGGCCGCCCCAGCCACCCTGGAGGCTTGGATGTGGGCGTGCACGTGATGGGCTCTGCAGCCTCGGGACCCGGGTCACTTGGAAATGCAGGGACGTTGCACCGCCTCTGTAGGAAAAGTCCGTGGTTGTGTGCTTGCTGCTGGAGATAGACAGCAGCTGAGGGGCCATGTGCTGGGCCCACACCCGGGAGGGGGTTCCCACGGAGGATGTGAGCAGCCATGACAGTAAAAGGGACTCTGCCAGAAGTCTGCAACTCAGAGTTTGTGAAGCTCGGTTTTTTGAGAAAAACTTACTTTAAGGGGAAGGGGCTTAGAGCCTCCATTCCCCGTCCTGCTCGTGGCCTCCACGCAGGGTCCTGGCCGACTGCCTCTCTCTTGTGTGGATTTAGTTACTCCCTAGTAGCTTTATCTCATTTTCTTTTTTCTTTTTTTAAAATATATTTTATTGATATTTTACAGAGAGGAAGGGAGAGAGATAGAGAGTTAGAAACATCAATGAGAGGGAAACATCGATCAGCTGCCTCCTGCACATCTCCCACCGGGGATGTGCCCGCAACCCAGGTACATGCCCTTGACCGGAATCGAACCCGGGACCCCTCAATCCGCAGGCCGACGCTCTATCCACTGAGCCAAACCGGTTTTGGCAGCTTTATCTCATTTTCAGTTTGTTTACACTTCACAACTTCAAGGGTCAGAATGGACAGAAGAAGTACCAGATCAACCTCAAGAGTCACTCGGGCCCCATCCACGTGCTGCTGATAAATAAAGAGTCCAGTTCGTCTCAACCTGTGGTTTTCCCTGTCCCCCCACCGGACGACCTCACGCAGCCCCCCTCTCAGCCTTCGACTCCCCGGACCCCGCACAAGCCCAGCCCCGCCCCGCCGAGCCCTCCGCGGCCGCCCGCCTCTGAGAGGAGCCCCGGCCTCCAGCACATCCCGGCCACAGACTCGGCTTCAGGTGGGCCCAGAGCCTCCGTCTTCGGAAGGGGAGCTTTTCTGAATTTGTCTGTGGCCTAGTGAGTGTCACCTGATGCAGGAGGGAAATCGGAAGTTTAGTGTAATCAGCAAGAGTGATGCAGTGTCTGTGTGTCCAGCGCCAGGACAGGTTTATGAGAAACATCCTGTCTTTTTATATTTACTAGAGGCCCGGTGCACAAAATTTGTGTGGGGCGGGGGGCGGGGGGAGGGGTCCCTCAGCCGGGCCTGTGCCCTCTCACAGTCTGGGAGTCCTTGGGGGATGTCTAACTGATGGCTTAGGCCCACTCCACCTGGGGAGCGGGCCTAAGCCAGCAGTTGGACATCCTTAGCCCTGCTACTGAGGCAGGAGAGGTTCCACCACCACTGCTGTGCTCACCAGCCATGAGCCCAGCGGTGCTCTGTGTGGGAGTGCACTGACCACCAGGGGCAGCTCCTGCATTGAGTGTCTGCCCCCTGGTGGTCAGTGTGCGTCATAACGACTGGTCATTCCACTGTTCAATCTGCACATTAGCCTTTTATTATATAAGATTATTAGTTTGGTATATTTATAATTGTATTATCATATAAGTATTTTAATTATGTTATTATGGATTTATTTATTAAGATATATTTACACACAATCTGATTGTATATCCAGAAACACACAGTGGTGGGTGCAGTGTGGCTGAGACTGCATGGAGTGCCGTTTTCTGTAGGATTCCATTGTGCCTCGGCTGCCACGTGCACCTGCCCTTACCCAAGGTTTGCTGTGGAGAGTGATCTCCCGGCAGCTCGGGACAGGTTGCTGCCATCCCTGGCTGCCTTTGCGCAGTCGGGCTGTGGAGCGCAGGGACCCCCTTGTCCTCAGTCCTCACTGCAGTCCGTGTCTGGAATGGGGAGTGGCACAGGGGTGACGGTCACGTCTGTCTAAATGCATTGCTGCAGGTCACTCAAGCTGGTCTCATTTGTAGCTTCGGGACGTGTCCCAGGACAGGGCGGGAGTCAGCTGCCCAGGTTCTCTCGGAGGTGCCTGGTGAGGCTGTAAAGACAGGTCTGACCACACACACACTCTCAGGGTTGTGTCCTGTCCCCTCCGTCCTGTGCTCCCCATATTTCTACCATTAGGCGTGGGAATGCCTGTCCCCCGAGTATAACCTAATGGGGGATAAAGCAGGCCAGCTTCATAATGTTCACCTCAGACCCAGTCCACTGGCTTCATGAAGCATTCAAAAAAGTGTGAGCAGTTAGTTTCTGTGTATGATTTGTATCAGGAAATAGTAAGAAAGGCAGTTTAGGGCCGGGCTGAAGAGGGCCATGACAGACTGAGTGAGGACTAGCGGTAGCCAGTGAAGTTCTGTGGCTGGGAAGTGGCTGTGGGGTACCACACAAGCGCTGAGTGCCAGGATGTGACCCGGAGAAGACGCCTGGGGAACAGAGGGCAGGGCCGTTGTGCAGCTGTGAGAACATTGAGGCCACAGGAGGGTGATGGCAGTGGGTGCCTGAGAAAGAACAAGCAAGAAGTATTTAGGCAAAATAAGTCCCGTCTGCCGTGTGGGATCTGGAGATGAGGCGGACGGAGGAACGGAAAGTGATGGCTTCCCTGGCGAAAGCCCAGGAGTCCGTGGGGGAGGCGGCGGCTTTGGGGCTCCTTGAGTTTGGGAGTTTACCAGTGAAACGTGTAGGTGCGAATGGAAACATGGTTCCCTGCGTGCTAGTCCTTCACTTGTACTAAGTGGGGGCTGATGCGGACTCCCCGTGTTTAGTGTGCTGTGCCCAAGGAGAGCCAGCTGCCCCCGCTGCAGATGTCACAAGGCGTGATCATGTTTCTCTTCCCGCAGGATCTGTCACTGGAGATCTCATTGATGAGCTGATGTCTTCTGATGGTAAGCCATTTAAAACTGTACAATGGGGCCTTGACTTACAAGTGTCCCGACTAACGAGTTTTTCAAGCCGTCTCTTGGCCGATTTTTTGCTTTGAGTTGCGAGCTAAAATTTGGGTTATGAGCCAGCTTCAGATACCCCACCGCGAACGTCGCAGCGAACGCCACATCAGCCCAGCATCACGTGTCTCACTGGTTCACAACTGATTTGACATACGAGTAATATGAGTTACAAGCTCCGTCACGGAACGGATTAAACTCGTAAGTCAAGGCCCCACTGCACTGCCTCTCTCAGGGGCAGACTTGCTTCCCTAGAAGTTACAGGTGGCACAGGATTGATTAGGTACTTAGTGCCTTATGGCGAGTTGTGAAAATTCTCCTTCAGTAACACTGGTGAGAAGATCCTGGGTGTCCGGCACCGTGGGTCTGTGCCTGCTTCTCAAGGGGACTCTCAGCAGGGGACACTTGCCTGCACTGAGTAGACTTGCTAGGTGCTGGCACACGAGTCCTTTACTCCACAAGAATCTGGCCAAGGCCAGGAAAGCTGTCAGTCACCCATACACTAACCTGAAGCCGCCGCACTGCTCCTGACCTGGCCATGTCATCAACTGGAGTCAGACTCAACAACCCAATATTGTGATCACTTCAGTGGTAACTGTCAGCCTCACCTTCCCTTAAATTCTGGGCCTCAAGTCTCGGCTCCTGGCCGTGCAGCCAAGACCTGGGAAGGCAGAGCTGCACTCAGCAACGGAACCATAACCACCTTAGATTCCTTCAACATTTCAGGAAAAAGAGAACAGTAACACATTTATTAGATTAAGACTACTTCTGTTCTGTTTTCAAAGCAGAGAAAATACTTTGTTTTTAAATACCCATGTTTTTAAAAGATGTATTTTAACACTAGATTGCCCAAGGAAGTCATTTTGACTGCTTTTTAATTTCAATTAGAAAAACAATGATGTATATAATTACAGAATTTCTTAGAATTTTGTGACTTTTTATACAACATATAAATGCGTTTATTAATAATTGTAGTTACCCCCCCCCCTTCATTTCCTGTATATA